TAAGCCTCATCGAAAGTACTCTTGGCTAACTAACAAGATAATCAAAATGAGAGATGTAATGTTTACCTGGATTAAACTTAGGATTGAGAGTGGTAGAGGCTGCAGATTCTGGACGGATAATTGGTTCCTGGAGGGAAAGATAAGTGAAATGATGACAGGTGGTAGAAGTACTAGGCTCGGTATAAGACATGACGCAACCATTGCAAGCTTGTATGATAATGGTCACTGGCTTCTATCACCGGCAAGGTCTGAAAATCAAGTAACCATTCTTGCTTTCCTCTCTGGTTTGACAATATCTACTGCTGATGATTTCTATGAGTGGGAAACTGATGGAATAGTTAGCACAAAATATTCAATGGGGTTGGTTTATCAAAAACTGAGAGGAGAGTGTACTGATCTACTGATATCAATCAAATTACTCGAAGGATTGAATTACTCTCTCAAATAAGAGGTTCAGTTGTAGTACTTAGGGATCGAATCCACAAGGAACTAAGGAACACAAAAGATATAATCCTTAGTGATTATGCTAGGTTGATTAAGTTTAAAAGTAAATTGCAGTTGTGAGCAATGGTAAGTTGCTCAAGAAAATTGGTTTAGGTTTTAAACAATAAGAGAAAGTAGTTAGATTCAAGGTTGCTCTTCAGATAATCAGGATTATAATGCTACAGATGTCTTAATAAGTTTCTTGCAATAAAGAACTTCAACTCTTAGATAAGTCTATTAGCAATCGCTATCTAGACTCGTCCATTGATCTGACTGCCGGCAATATCGACCGATGTTTTGACAGCGATATCAGACGATATAGGTTCCCGTCGATCGATTACTATATAGGAGTATCGATCGATATACCTTCAGATCGAATTGAATATGTGTTCACCAAGATCATAGACTGGCTCTCGTTCGCCCCTAGAGGATCTCATCTTATGCCAAATGATTTCAGGATAATGATTAACAAGTTAAATCATTCCAGGATCATACTTTAGTTAGCTACTCTAGAGTAAGCATTAGGGTTCATCAGGATAATGAATATCACAACTCAAGAATCCATAGTTGAGGCTAGTCCCTCATAACTATTTGAACCCCAAATCTAACAAGTGAATCTACTCAGATATGGCTAAGTGATTCATAGCATCAAGGTAATAATATAAATTCATAAGATTAGAAGATTGAACACTTGGTTCCTTTGAACAACAAATCTCTTTGTATATTCTTCTAAATCTAGAACTCTATATACTTTGATGAAAATGAGAATAAGATGAAAAGAATACTTTTATTAATGAAACCACTAAGAGTAAGAATCAAAAGCATTCCCTGCCAAAACACATAGGCATAACTATAACTATGAGTTCAATTAGGTTAAAAACTCGCCAGGGGAAATCTTGTAATATTGAGAGAACTTTGGCTTCAAGTCGGCTGAGTCAAACTTATTCTTCACGCTCGATATCGATCGATGGTAGTAGGCGTACATCGATCGATGGAGTATCTCGATTCGTCATCTTCTACGGAAGCGTCGTTGATCGATTACACATGATGTGTATCGATCGATATGTATCTCTGGATATCGACCTTGTTGCCTGATCTTCAGTTATCTCAGGAAAACTCTCCTTTAAGCTCCATAAGGGCACCTAAATCATCACTTTACTCCAAAATGCTCTTGAACCTGAAAACATACCTAATAGACTCCAAAACATATATATATATATTGTATAATCATCTCAATACCATGGTTAAAAGTGGGTCAAAACCATGGTAGATCATCTACCTTGGACTAAAGCAGTTTGGATTAAATGAGGTATTCCCAGACATTGTTTTTTGGTGTGGCTGGTGGTTCTAAATCGCTGCCCAACTCGTGATCGTCTTCATTCTTGGGGTCTTCAAACAGGTACTAATTGTCTTCTTTGTGGTCTCCATCAAGAGAGTTGGAATCATCTTTACTTTGACTCCTCTTATTCATGGGAACTATGGTCAACTATTGCCACAAGATTCACTTTCAATCCTTTAAGGACATGGGAACGCTCACTAAATCAAATGCAGGCGCTCTCTGGTAACAGATTCCGGTGACATCTTCTTCTCCTAGCCTGGCAAGCGATCATCTACTGGGTTTGGACTGAAAGAAACTCTAGACTGCATCGACAAACTTTCAGATCTACTGATGTGTTGCTTGGTCTTGTGGACCGTCAGATTAAAGACCGTATCAATAGCTTCAGGGAAGTTAGCCCTACCACTTTTTCACACTTTCTGCAGCTATGGCTTCTCTTGTGTGATCCTACCATCGTCACTGTATGATCGTTGTGATCTCCGCCTCATTACTTCTCTAAAAACGTTCCAAATCCGTTTTAATGGTAACTGCTATGGGACTCTAATACATAAAAATCCATATGGGTTTATTAACTAGACCTTGTCATGTAACTGAAGTCCATATGGGTTTCTGAACCTTTTTATGTTTTTCTGCATTTAAATTAATGAAGCCTTTTCAAAAAAAAAAAGAGATAGTGTAATAATTGTCAAAAAAATATAAAAATATAAAAAAATAGTTAAGAAATACCATTCTAAACACACACTACTTTGGTCAGTTGATTGTTTCTTCATATGGAAAACCAAATAAAATTTTTAAATTTCTATAATGAAGAAGTTTAACCAGTAGTACCAGTATTACATGTCTAGTATATAATATGAAGTTGTACCAGTTAAACCAATATTACAAATCTAGTATATGAGTTTAATGTTTAGTTATATAAGTTGTATCATCTTCTATAACCCACTCCTATAGCAATTTCATGATTTTACTTATTATGCATTTAGTTTTAGCTTATTTCCCAATAAGAGAAATTATTTAGAATGACTCAAATCATACTAGAAAATACTGCACTGACTCACATAAAATTGTAATTACTAGAATTACACAAAGAGTTGCCAAATTTACTAAAAACCCATCATTCACTATATTAACAAAAAAAAAATAACTAAAAAATAATTAAGTTAATATAATAAAAAATAAATCTGAAAACCAAAATAATATAAAAGAAAAGGAAGTTGAGTTTTTTTGTCGGGTCTTTCTCGTCACCCTTTTCTTCAACCCTCGACGACATCGACATCGCCTCCTCTCCACAACCGTCTTCTTTGTCCTCCATATCCGGCGACTCAATTCTCAGAAACAGACGACATCTTGTCCTCCTCTCCACAGTCATCTTTCGTCCCTTTAAGCAAGGAAACCCTAGCTCCGATTTGGGGCCGTTTTGAGATCGTCAAAATTAGGATTTTAAGTGCTTAATCTATGCAAATCTGAGTTGTTATAACACAATTTTAACAGATATTGCCTGATTGAATGATTAATTTTCAAAAGTCTAATTACCAATTTCATCTCCTTCGACTTTGAAGTCGAAACTGGTTTCGGTTAGGGGTGGGCATATAATCCGAACCCGAAAACCCGAACCGAACCCGGTCCGATAAAACAGGCCATTTCATTGATGCTTCATGGCAGCTCAAGAAGGTTATCCTTGGCTTCAAGTACGTGATAGATCACAAAGGTCAGACCATCTCCAATGTCCTCTTAGAGTGTCTAGCTGAGTGGGGAATCGAGAGAGTCTTTTGCATCACAGTAGATAATGCTACGGCTAATACCTCTGCCATTAGGAGATTTCATTCAACATTTAGAGAGGTTGGCAATGATGCTCTAGTGTTAGACGGTAATTTCTTGCACATGAGGTGCTCTGCTCATATCATTAATCTGATTGCTAAGGAGGGTTTGGCTGAGGTAGGAGAGAATGTGTTAGCCATTAGGAATGCAATTCAGTATGTTCGTTCATCCACACCAAGGCTGAATGCGTTTGATCTGAGAGTCACTAGTGGGAGAATGAGCCGCGGTAGTTTGCCAATGGATATCAAGACCAGATGGAACTCAACCTTCCTCATGCTGTCTAGAGCTCTACAATTTAGAGCTGCATTTGATAGGATGGAAGCTGAGGATAGGCTGTATAATGATTATTTCCTGGAGATGGATAATGGTGTTAGGAGGTGTGGACCGCCTGGAGAAAGAGACTGGAGTGTTGTGGACAAGCTGAAGAGATTTCTGGTAATCTTCTACAACAGCACGTTGATTGTCTCTGCCTCCTCTAAGGTGAACTCGTACAAGTGCTATGGTGAGATAGTGACCATAGAGCGAAATCTCACTACGCTGGCCAACAGTTTTGATCCGGAACTGAAGGTTAAAGCATCAGAGATGTTGCACAAGTTTCTGAAGTATTGGGAGGGTATCAAGGGGATCAACAAGATGCTGATCTTAGCCACCATTTTTGATCCCAGGAAGAAGATGCAATTCGCGAAGCTTTGCTTTGAAAAACTGTATGAGAAGGACAGCTTGGAGTCGAAGGAAATGGTGCAGTCTGTTGGTGATATTCTCAAGTGCATGTTCACGGAGTACAACACTCGTTTCAAAGGGTCAACTGGACAGTCCTCTCAGTCCACTCAACCACCATCTTCTCAGCCTAGTCAAGAGTCTCAAGATCAGGGAACAGATAGAATGGAGCTGGTGGTTGAAGACTTTGGTTATGAGCGGATGGATTCTATGTACACTGAGCTGATTGCTGAAAAGGGAGAGGATACTCGTGATGAACTAGAAGTGTATTTGAAGGAGCCAGTTGAAAACCCAAAGCTCATACATGGCGTTGAATTTGACGTTCTTTCTTGGTGGAAGCTTCACCAGATTAAGTACCCTGTTCTGGCCGAAATGGCTAGAGATCTCCTCGCAATGCAAGTGTCCTCAGTGGCGTCTGAAAGTGCCTTTAGCACCAGTGGAAGGATCTTGGAGCCATATCGAAGTTGTTTAACACATTACATGATAGAGGTCCTCATGTGTACTGAGCAATGGATGCATGCAGACATCAAGCTGAGTGAACAAGTGAGAACAAACGAGCAGATGCTTGCTGAGGTTGAGCTCCTTGATCGACTTGAGAAAGGTTTTAAATGCTTTTCACTTTTGTTTCTTTTCAATTACCGTTGCAATGTATGTGTCACATAACTCCCTCTGTTTTGATTATATGTTCCAGAGTTTCAAGCACAGCGTCTTGAAGACTGAAGTTGCAGGTTCGTGGTGAGGGTTGAAGATGGTGCTTGAAGTTTTATTAAGTTTTTGGTTTTCTTTTGATTTCATTGAATAATTTGTTTCTCAAGTTGTTTGGGTTTTGGCTTTAGTTTCTTTGAATTCTCTCATGTTCTGGTTTTTTTCTTAATATCAATAAAGATGGTTGGTTTTGTTTAAACTATTTTCTGTTGTTTAGGTATTGATTTCGTTTATAAGTAACAAAATTGATGCTTCTCTTTAAATACTTGCATTGCAAGTTATGATTTATATAGATTTGAAATGGTTACATTTAGTACAAATGAGTAACTCAAGAACCGAAAGTCCATTTGGGGCATACACCCGTTAGTATTTCGGGTTATACCAATACCTAAAAAGATTACCAACACCGACCCGATCCGAGGAACACCCGAACCGGTCCCGAACCGAAGTTTAAATATATCCGAATGGGGCTGGTTTTCTGCAACCATGAAAACCCGAACCCGATTAAAATGGAACCGAAAACCGAATGGTACCCCGATTGCCCACGCCTAGTTTCGGTATTTGTTTACTTGAGTTTTTAAGTTTGTAACTCCGATTCCTAATTCCAATATCACATTCACTGAACTGTAGTTAAAGTTTATGTATGAGAAACTAGTTATAAGTTTTTATCCATGTTATCGCTATGTGTTCTACTCTGATTATTGTCGTAACTTCTTTGTCATTGCAGGAATAGCTTCAAATTTATGCACCTTTAGTATTTTGGAGGTGGTCTAACTGAGATGGTGAGAAGCTATATGTCTCAAGCGTTCTTCACAAAGCTTGCATTGAGGTGGATGAAGAGGGAACTGAAGCTGTAGCCGTGTCTATTGCCGTCTTCAGCTACATGTGTTATGACGATACAAATTTTGTAGCTGACCATCCGTTTCTATTCACGGTGAGAGAAGACAAGAGTGGAGTGATTTTGTTCATGGGTCAAGTTCTTGATCCTTCAAAACATTGATTCAACTTGCTGTTGGTGTTAGGAGAAAACATTTAGCAATCTGTACGTTCTTATGTTTTCTTTTCTTGTTGGTTTGGTGGAATTGGCTTTGTAAAGCTAGCCACTTATCATGTTGGTTCGTCGTTTTACTGCTTTTTATATACTGTGATTTGTTGTGTATTTATAGCGTGACTAAAAGGTTTAGCTTTGAGTTATGATGAATGGACTTGTCGAATCTACAATACTGATCTTTAGGGTGTTTCTATTAGACATCTTTCAAAAAAAAATTAAAGTGCAATAACTCGTATGTTTTTCATCACGTCACTATTTTCATAGGGATGAGTGACTGATTATAGATCTTTTCAATCGTAACTCTGCCCGAGCGCAAATCAGACAAATTCATTGAAGACTCATTTTCTTCTGTCTTTTGCACTATTGCATAAACTATATTTGTAGAAGATTCTTGAACGACTTATACATGGTCTTTGGGGGAAGTTTGTATGTAGTAAAGTTTTTATCATCAAATGTTGTTCCGTCAAAATCATTGCAGTAATCAAAACGATCACTTTCTTCGTCTGTATCTTCTTCTTCTTCACACAACAGGTCATCTCCATGTATAGATTGTTTCTGATCTTTTCCAGCTCTTTCCCCAATAATTTTGTTTGCTTTAAACTCTATACACAGACGAAGGTTCTCAATTTTGCAGAGACCCAAAAAGTAATGAAACTGTCTTCAATTTAAACCGAAAGATTAAACTGATTTAAACAAATTTAAAATCTGTACAAAATAAACCAAAATCTATGAAAAATTAATCAGAATATGGAATGGATATGTCTGGTATAATCAGTGTGGCCTATTCTAGTAATTATATTTAAACTTACAAGTCTGCCGTCAAAGACAAAAATTTAGAAAGTCTGCTACCGAATGAATACAAAAGTCCACTACAAAAATAAATCGGTTAAACAAATCTGTCATTAAAATTTATGTCTATTATCCATTAAAAGTCGGTTCTACATAATTTTAAATCTGTCTTAAAAATCAAACTGATCCAAAATAAATCTGAAAATTTTTAAAAATCGGTTACGTCATTCGACAGACTAAAACATATAAATCGGTTGACAACCATAAATCGACCAGACATATCAGCCACCTCAAAACTATCTGCCATGACTCTAAATTTTGCCACCAAGTACGTGGCAGGTTTAAATTTAACAACAGTTTTAATTTGCAGATTTATATACCGATAGATTTATTTTTTCGTAAACAAATCTGCCAACGTCGATTTGTTCAAAAATTTAAATGGCAATTTTGTAATGTTACTTTTTTCTCACAACTGTAAGCAATGGCACTTTCGACAATAAAAAAAGTTAGTAATTTAAAACTTTTATGAGTTATTCTAGTAATTACTAGATTAATTAGAGTCGTTTTAGTAAACTTCCCTTTTAATAATTTTAAATTGTATTGGCGTATATATATATTGTATTTATTTGTCTATTTGTAGCTAACATGATTTAAAGTGCATAATTAAAAAGTTGAGCTGAAATCAGAAAAAAAAAATCTGGTCAATTAGAAAGTTTGGGAACCAAAATGTAAGATAAACAAAAAATCTGAGAACCAAAAACACAAATAATGAAAAGTTGGCTTCCCCACCAGATTCGATCAATCGCTCATCCATGGTTGATTGAAATCTGCTCAATCCATCGTCATCTGTAAAGCAAAAGATCTCTGAATATTTGTGTGTATTTCATCGTGAGCAAGAAGCTCAATATATATACATCTTACATAAGCCTTATCTACTTAACCGACTACATTAGAGTATTTATCTCTAACGTTTACATAATTATCTAAATAATATACATCATTATCACAACACTCCCCCTCAAGTTGGAGAATGCCAAATGCCCAACTTGGACATTAGATGAGTAAACTGAACTTTCCCTAAGGCCTTAGTCAACACATCCGCCAACTGCTCCTTGTCCCAATGTAAGCTGCTGTAATTACTCCTGACTTCAATGCATCCCGAACCCTGTGACAATAGATCTCAACATGTTTTGTACGTTCATGAAACACTGGGTTCGTAGCTATATATATAGCAGATTTACTGTCACAGAAAAGGCGAGCTGGAGTCTTTGGAGAAAAACCCAAATCACGTAAGAGTTGCCGTAGCCATTGTACTTCACGAGTGGCAATGGACATGGCACGAGACTCTGCCTCTGCTGAAGAATGCGACACTACCTTCTGTTTCTTTGTTTTCCAAGACACTTGTGAACCTCCTATCATAGCAACATACGCCGTCAACGATCTCCTTGTCAATGGACAAGCCGCCCAGTCAGCATTGCAGTAAATAGACAGCTGCAAGTCAGTCTCCGATTTGAGCAGTATTCCCTGCCCTGCCGTTCTTTTAAGAAAGCGTACAACCCGTAACGCTGCGTCCATATGTCCTTCTCGCGGTTATCGCATAACTTGAGACAGTATATGAACTGAATAAGATATATCAGGTCTTGTGTTTGTAAGATAAATGAGTCTCCCCACAAGTTTCCTATAACGAGCTGGATCAGTTGAGAAAGGACTATCATCCGTAGCCAAGTGATGATTTTGTTCCATTGGTGTTGGAGCTGTCTTTGAGTCGACCATACCATACTCCTTCACGATATCCAACACGTATTTTCTCTGACTCAAAACAAAACATTCTGCATTTCGTGCAATTTCGATCCCAAGAAAATACTTCAGCCTTCCTAAGTCTTTCATGTGAAAACATTCACCAAGATATTTCTTAAACTTGGCAATCGCTTCTCCATTATTCCCACAGATGATAAGATCATCTACATATATCAACACACGAATCTCAACACTCCCACGAGTGTATACAAACAGTGAGTAATCGGACAGGGACTGAACGAAACCAGCTTGAACAAGTGCTTTAGTGAGTTTCTCAAACCAACATCTAGGAGCCTGCTTCAACCCATACAGAGATTTATGCAAACGACACACCTTATTTGGATCTGCATTGTTAACACCTTGCTGAAGCTTGATGTACACTTCTTCATTTAAATCACCATGAAGAAAGGCGTTGTGCACGTCCATTTGATGCACTTCCCACTTCTGAGTGGCTACTATCTTCAAGAGACTCCGTACTGTTGTCATTTTTGCTACCGGGGCAAACGTTTCATCGTAGTCCCATCATGCCTTTTGACGATTTCCAAGCACTACTAACCTTGCCTTGAACCGTTCCACTGTCCCATCGGCGTTATATTTAATCTTAAACACCCACATTGTACCCAAGGATACTCGTCCAGATGGCAAATCAACAACACTCAATGTATTAGCCACCTCAAGTGCATCTACTTCTTTGTGAACTGCCTTAGTCCATTTTTTGTCACACATAGCTTCTTTAAAATTATTGGGCTCACTCTCAGCACACACAGCTGCAAGAAAAGCTTTGTGTTTCCCCGTAAAATGTTCATCAGTAACATATTCAGTAAGTGGGAACAAAGTGTTACCTGAGACCGGATTAACGAAGACGCTGTAGGATTGACCAGAGGTGAGAACGTGTGGGGTACTATTATTGTTGTCACAAGCTGCATTGTAGGTAACGTAATAATTTAATCTCACCGAAGGCATCTAAACACACTGTCCTCTTCCCAAAGAACTTTCTTCTGCAGGCGCAACACTTGCAGTAATTTCTTCTAAACTCTCACTTTCGTTATTGACAACTTCTGGTCCAACTTCTATAATAGCTGAATCCTGAGACCCTATTGACACGTTCTCTGATTCCACACCATTACTCCCACTGGAGTCGACAACTTGTACTTCTGCAACTTCATTGTTTATCAATTCACCATCAAACATCTCCATACTAGCAGAGGAACAAAGGACTCCTTTGTAACCATAGCAGAGAAAGGAAACTCTCCTTCTCTAAAGACCACGTCTCTAGAAACAAAAAAATATTTGGTTTCCAAATCATACAGTTTCCATCCTTTCTTCCCAAAAGGATAACCAACAAATGCACACTTCCTACTGCGAGGAACAAATTTATTCTTGTCACGCAACTGTTTATGAGCAAAACACAACGACCCAAATACTCTAAGTCGTGAATACGATGGAGCTGAACCAAACAACATCTCATGACGACATTTCCCATTAAGTACTCTACTAGGTGTAAGATTAATAACATGAGCAGCTGTGAGGACCGCCTCGCCCCAAAATTTGATTGGCATCTTTGCTTGGAACATTAAGGATCGTGCTACGTTTAACAAATGATGATGCTTGCGCTCCACTCTACCGTTTTGCTGAGGGGTTCCAACACAAGAAGTTTGGTGAATGATCCCCTTTGATCGAAAAAACATTGATAGGCACAGAAACTCAGTGCCATTGTCACTACGAACACACTTGATGCGTTTTCCGAACTGTGTCTCAGCATACGCGCAGAAATTCTGAACTACTTCTTTTACCTCAGATTTCTCGAGAAGCAAAAAATGTCCAAACAGTTCGTGAAAAATCATCTACTACAGTCAAAAAATACGAAGCTCCATTTGATGATTGAACTCGATATGGTCCCCAGAGATCAATATGAATCAACTCAAAACATTATTTAGTTTTATTAGAACTTTCAGGAAACGAATCTCTTGCTTGCTTAGCCTTGAAACAGACTTCGCATGAATCCAAACTTTCAGAAACTTTAACACCAGAAAACAAAGACATTGTAGATAAAATAGAAAGCCCTGGATGTCCCAATCGCTGATGCCACAAAACAGATTCATCAACCTTCACTGCCTTGTTAACACGAGCTCCTTTAACATCCATAAAATAGTACACCCCATCACGTTCTTCACCTGCTCCAATCAGCGTCCTCGTACATCGGTCCTGCAACACACATAATGTATCAGTGAAGAATGCAAAACAGTTCGAATGTTTGAGCAGTTTTGAAACTGAAATCAAGGAACAATTCAGGTTCGGCACATATAACACATTGTACTCCCTTCGGTGCCCTTTTTATTTGCTGCCGTGGTACTACCATCTGCAAAACCTATCCGACATGGTGATATGTCTTCAAGATCAGTAAGAAGACTTATATCTCCAGTCATATGATGTGATGCCCCTGTATCGAGGATCACATCTCCCATATCCTCACCAGACATTTTATCGAAAGCTCCATTGGTTTTTTCTTGGAGAATTTGAGTAATTGCTCTCCATTGT